ACAAGCTACGGCCAGAATGCATAGCTAGGATGACCCAGAGAGTAAGGGAAAGGCCCAGATAGGTACAGTCAGGCTCCCTTCCTAAAGTTGGTATTTAGCACCACAAGAATGTATTTTGTTTAGGTGTTTCTAAGGTAGTCATTTTGAAATTCATAGACTAGCAGGCAGTAATAATTTCATGAATCAAACTGCCCAAATCCAACGATGAATATCTCATGTACAGTGGCAGCATCTCAGAGTGAGGGCAGACTTAGAGGAGGGACTGGAAAAATTTCATCTGAACCACTGGCCTTAAGCATAAAAATACAATAAATGATTCTGAAATGACTTTCACAGATAGACACATGTTGCCCTATGAGCATCTTCAGGAATCTTCTTTAGAGTGGGCTTATTGTACACCATGAGTTAGAATTGCAAATCAGCATCTAAAGAGGGAGAAAGGGGTAAATTTAAAAAGCAGATTTCCATAGAGAGACACAAAGGAAGTCAAACAGGGACAAAGAAACAAAAATGGGAAGTGAGAAAGTGGGATCAAAGGAGGGACATAGATGAAAACAAGAAAGATGCCAAGAGAGAAAGACTCATTTCATCCCTTGAAATGTTCTGGTGCCCAATGGAGTAATGGGAGATTCTGTCATAGGTGGACAGCTAAGAGGAAAGGAGGGAGGACGTGGTTGGCTTTTCATTTAGTCCTGCCCCTTGGCTTATTCTTTCTGATCCGACACAGCAGAGTCTACTTGTTCATTGGCCAAATGTCAAAAAGTCACCATAAGGGGCTGGCAAGGAAAATGACCGGGAATGCACGGCACGCCGGAGTCACTCATCTTATCTGCCCCATTGACATAAATTGCACAAAAGGACACTCTGTCATCATGAAAGGAGAAAGATGGGTACTTGGATGATCTTGAGCTTAACCCACTTACAAAGGACTTGGGAAACCAGGAGACCAGCCAAGTCTCCATATCCCCTGGCCCCAGGGTGTATCACTTATACCTCCATCCACTCACCTATATCTGAATGCCCAAATATTCTGCAAACCTTTATAAAAAATAGAACTGTGCGGAATGCAGTTTATACTCTCAAGAAGAAAGGAGGTGTTTTTGTTTGTTTATTTGTTTGTTTTGCTGTTTCAGGTCTGCAACACTCTTCAGAATGAAACCAGTACTTTCTCTACACTGTGACTAGGAACCTGTCTTTTCCCCAGGTCTCCTGCAAAATTTCTAGCACCTTCCTCACACAAGTTGCAGGAAGCATACAGCTTTGAAATTATAACGATGGAAAAGGAAATGGAAAGATAGGCCCAACTTTTAGTCTCTAGGACTCCAGATCATATTTATGTGTTCAAAACAGTAACTTTCCCCTAGAAAAGTGGGATGCCACCATTCTACACACGGGGTGGACCATTTCCTAGCTGCATGTGCTACAAGCACATAGGGCCCTGGCAGAAACCTCCTTTGATTTCTACAATTGCCCTTTTTAAATGTAACAATAGCCAAAGTCTACTCTCTCCCTGCATTGCATCTGTTTCATCTGCATCCCGGGTTTCTACAATAAAGCAAACCTCCAATTTATTAATTTTTTTGAAAAGATAACTTAAGTCCAAGGTTACCAAATGTCTTAAGCTAACCAAAACTGTAAAGACCAGTAAGGATTTAGAATTCCCTATACTAGTCCCCTGATCGGTAATCAGGTGACGGGTTGTTTGTTTGTTTTTTCATCTGTTTATTTGTTTTCCAGGCACGTTATGATGTGAGGTTCTTTAGCTACATATATGTATCTCCTTCAGTGGTCTCAGTGATTTTCAGCTTTGCAGGATATCACTTGGAGACAGAATGATGCAAACAAAAATTTTAGATTTAAAAAAAAAATTTTAAACATAAAAAATTAAAAATAAACTCTAGATTCAGGGCTTTCCAAGAGCCAAATGCTCTGAGGGCCAGTCCCAGCTACTTTCCAGCTGTGTGAGCTGAGGTCAGTTACCTAAACTTCCCATGCATCAGTTTCCTGCATCGACAAAGCTCTGGTAAGGATTTCTGCCCTACATAGTTCACAACACTAAAATGAGAAAATAGGGAAGTGCTAAGAATTTTAAAGAATTCGAATATGAGGTCTTATTACCGCTAACACAGACTTCCGCCCACAACAATCACTGGAAGACTTATGGGTTATGTATGTTCCAGTCACCTACAAAGTAACAAATCAGCAACTTCCTATCCAATCTACTACATAGCTTCCTCCCATAACCTAACCCTGTGTATGCTAACAGCCCACCTACAAACGGATTTCTCTCTATGATATTTAACACCCATTAATATTTATGCAGCTGTGTTTAGGTTAAAAAATAAGTCAAGCCAAGGTAAGAGGCATTTTAAAAAAATTATTTTATAAGTTAAACAGTCAAATTGACTTTTTTCCCTTTTGCTGTAGAGTTCTATAAATTTTAACACAGCTGTAGGTTTGTATAACCACCACCACAATCAGGATATGGAACAGTTCTATTACCCTAAAAAAATTCCCTATGACTCTCCCTTTATAGTTCCACTCTTTCCCCTGCCCCAGCTCCAAAAACCATTGATCTGTTCTCTAGATCTATTCTGACATTTTCAAAATAGGTCACATAAATTGAATTATACAGTATACGGCCTTTTGAACCTGCCTTTTTCCATTCAGCATAATGCCTTTGAAAATCATCCAAGTTATCACGTGTATCATCTGTTCTTGTTTATTGCTGAATAGTATTCCATGGCATGGATATACCAGTTTGTTTAATCATTCAACTGGTTTATTTGAAGGACATCTGGTTTATTTCCAGATCTTGGCAATTTTAAATACAACAGCTATAAACATTTATGTGTCCGTTGTTGTGCGATCATAAGTTTTCATTACTCCAGGATAAACCCCAAGAGTGGGATTGCTATTAAACAGTGACTTGTAAATATCAACATCACATTAAACATCCAGATTTTATTCAAGGCAACCTCATAATATAAGAGACTGATATCATGATTTATCAACACTCAAAAACTAACATGCCTTAACCCCTTTGAAAATTTGAGTTGTTTCATCTACAGCCATACCACTCTGAACACACCCCATCTCATCTGAAAATTTAAGTTTTTTTGATATATTTTGTGGTATTTAATTTTTTGTGGTATTACTATTTTGCATAAATGTTAATGAAAAATATCATTTTAACAACTGCAAAAACATTGCAGTGATGCTTTCAAGAGTTCTTCCTTTTGAGATTCTCATTCAATTTCCCAAAATAAAGTAAAATTTAAAATCTAAGTAGAGAGGAACCACCACTTCAGAGTCTGAGTTAATACAAACTTGCTCTGGCATAATTGAAAAATCACTATGCTAAACTTTGTAAAGAATACACCACCATCCCCCCAACAAAGTACACCCTAGAGTGTTTGAAGATTATGTTATGAGTGGCCCAAATGCCTGGGTTTGGCATTTGTTAAACAATCCTACAGGAGCTGCTGTCGCTGGGGTTCTGTGGGTTCATCCGTGGCTGACACCTCTCATCCTGAATCCCTTGGGTCCCATGGGCCCTGGAACGATCTATATTCTCCCGGTTGAAGATGATAGCATAATGTCAGTGTACTTAAAATTCAATTTCATTCTTCCTAATCTATGCACCATTATGCAGGTCTTTGAAATAGTCTCCAAAGAAGGTAAGTCTGTATTGATTCCATTCCCTTACATAGCAACTGGTGTGTAGCAACCCATAGTATAATATGAGGGGGAGAAAATATTGATTCTGGGAAACTTAATATTATTAAAAGACAGTTGTATTAAATCTCTTTCCTGGACTTAGCTGAGCACTTTTTTTTTCCTTTTCCCATTTTCAAAAAAAATCAATGAAGCTAATACTCTTGTTAGTTTTAGAGTTTCTACTACAGCAGTTTCATGTCATCATAGAACCTACGGGAGGTTTGTAGGCTCAGCACTTGAGGCTTGGAGTCCTCTGCTGACTGATGAGCATAACATCTCTGTCTTCAGTTATTCCGGCCACTCAGAGCGGGCAAGTAATATTTAAATTTTATTTTCCATGGTATCTGTTTTCCTTGGTGTGTAAACGTCTCAAGATATGGCTTAACCTTAGTTATAAACACCTAAGCGCATGTGATGAAGCTCATTACACACATGCAATTTTCAGTTTGAGAGAAGTCTAAAGAAATAAAATCAACATGGGGGTAGGGGGAGGTTTTTTTGATGGAAAACACCTGCCAGTTGAAAATCCCAGATTCTCTTTTTTGAGGACCATCCAAACTTGAGCTTTTTTTTTTTTTTAACGAAAAAGGAACAGCTGCTTCTGATTTGTGACAAGATTAAAGCATTTTGGAATCTCTCTCCAGATATCCAAGTTCTGATAGAATGTCTGCTGTGTCATTATCAAATATAACAAGACTGTAACATGGCTCCAGAGTCAATGAACCAAACACTGGGATCTTCTTCTAATTATATAATATAAAACTACTTATAATTCTGATGCCATGAATTTGGAATTCGTGATTAAGATGGGTTAGGCTTTGCTAAGCAAGCGTTTTCTTCATAGATACTGCAAGTCATATTTTAAAAATAAGATGGCAAGAATAATGCTGAAAATATGTGAAAAACAAACTATCTCCAAACCCCTGAAAGACTCTAGAAGCCACAATTAGCATGAAAATATCTGTGGTGCTTTTAATAGTTATTTTATATCTCTGTCTCCGGCTTCTCTGGAGAGTGGTGCTCTCAGCTGCCAGGAGAACAACTAAGTCCACCTGGATATTCCAGACCCCATAAATGCATATGCCCCAGACTGGATGTGATTTTTGTACTCCTGTTAATTGTTCCTCCTGTTTTCCCATTTTCCCATCTTCACTGTCATCTACAAGAGAAATTCAAAAAGCGACCAAAGATCGCTGACTTGGTGGACACAGCTTAGGAAATTTCAGTCTCATTTGCCTCCTCTCCCCTAGAATACAGTTTGCTGCCTCCTCCTTGCTCACCTGGATCATGGCAAGGGCCTCCTGAAGGGCTTCCATCTAGTATCTCTTCCCCAACCTCTGCAATCAGAGTGAGCCTCCTGGGGGGGGAAAAAAAAAAGGTGTCAAATCATATTGAAAACTGCCATGGGCTTGACATCACCTGTCAGATAAAACAGTCACCAGCATTGCGTACTAGCAAGGCTTTGCATGGAAAGATGAGGAAGAAGAGCCCAGACAGGCACAATGAAGAAATATCTATGTCATACTTGGGTCATGGTAAGAAGACCAAATTAGCTCGAACAGGGATTTCTTTGCAAGTGATGGTTATAGAAAGTAACTACGAAGAAGTAAAGCGGGTGCAGATTAGTGAAGACTCAAAAGACTCAGTCTGAGACTTTCTGACTTTATCCCTCATGCCACGGGGAGCCATAGAATGTTCATGAGCAGAGGAGGCAGATAAAACACAGTCCAGTTGGAATCACCAATCACTCCCGCAGTAGCACACACACCACTGAATGTCATTAGGCTACTAGTTATTTTTCCTAGTGACCACCCCCATTGTCTTTCACTAAGAAAAAAAAAAATTATTGACAAGTAATTCTTTAGGTGCTTCCCTTTCATATATTTTCAATTTTTAAGTACACTTTATACTGGCTTAACAAACATAAATGCCATTCTAGAGATTTACAATATAGTAGTATAATATTAGTGTATGATTTAATGTGTTGGCTCTTTCTCCAGAGACTAAAAACAAAGAAGCATAATATATCGTCAGATAAAATATTAACATATTAATGAAAATACTTCATTTCCCTGAACCAAAGAAAACAAAAATGATGATGAGGAATGCATTAATGAGGGTTTTAAGCATAAATGACAGAAATTCTAATGCCATTTCCAAATATGCTAAATTACTTAAAATTAGAATAAAATGTATCAATACTTACAGATCATCAGAGTCACTTTCTATCCTGATCACTATGTCACAAGCCCCTAAGCTGACCAGTTGTCACTTCCAAGATATCTCTAAAGCAGCTCAAATTTACCATGGCCAAAGCTGAACACATTATTATCTTCCCCAAATCTTCTCAGTCTCTGTTAAGGGAGTAAGTGTCCACCTGTTCCCCTCAGCTAGAAATGTTGTAATCATCCTTGTCTCCTTTTTCTCTCCCTAAACCCCTGCATTGGTTCCTCATAGTCATCACTTTTATCTCCAAAATGTCTGTCTGAATCAGGCTCACTCAGCATTCTCACCATCAATGCCTTACCATCAATCAACCTCCCAAAAGATTCCAGTAGCCTCCTGAACAGCCTCTTACCAATACTCCAACAGCCAGCTGGTCTCTTCTAATTTGAACATTCCTGGAATCCCCTCTCTCCCTCCTCCACCTGACAAACCTCTCTTGCCCTTCCAGCCTGAACTCAAATGTCACTTCCCTTGCATTCTCATCATCTCCCACTTCCTTGCCAAAAGAATCAACAGTTTCCTCCTCTAGATTCCCTCTCCTATGTGTTCTTTCTTGATTACAACACTCATCCCATTTCTACTATGACTCAATGCTTAAGAATCTGTGTCCTTGGCCAGGCGTGGTGGTTCACGCTTGTAATCCTAGCACTTTAAGAGGCCAAGGTGGGCGGATCACAAGGTCAGGAGTTCGAGACTAGCCTAGCCAACATGGTGAAACCCCCATCTCTACTAAAAACACAAAAATTAGCTGGGCATGGTGTTGGGCACCTATAATCACAGCTACTCGGGAGGTTGAAGCAGGAGAGTTGCTTGAACTCGGGAGGTGGAGGTTGCAGTGAGCCGAGATCACGCCACTGCACTCCAGCCTGGGTGACAGAGCAAGACTCCATCTTGAAAAACAAAACAAAAATCTGTGTCCTCTGATACATTTGTGCATTTATTGGGGTTCGGGACCATGTGTTATTCTTCTTTGAGTTTCTGGTGAATGCAGTTCATGCCACCCTCACTACGCTCTCCTTTGAGTAAAGTGATGCATCTGATCCAAAATGTCATCATTTGCAATTTAAGCTTTTAAAATTTTCATAGCTGCACATCTTGACTCATGTAAATTACCACGGCCCAACCTTCTTTCGTAGTTGTTTCTATTTGGTCTTCTTAAGAATGGAGCACTTACATGCAGAATTTGGTACAAGATTTTACCCCTGGCAGGATGCCTAAATGACATACAGAGGAAAGGGCGGATAGGGTAAAAGATCTATATGTACTTCAGCAGGTACCTCGATAGCCCACACCCCAACCCTGGTATTGGCTTCTAGAGAAAACAGTTATGCAGAGAGAACCATCTGTGCTCCCAAAGCAGAGACGAGAATGTTCTATGATTGATAATCATCTGTGGGCAAAAGTAGCAGCATGGCCTCTGAAGCGATCGCTCCTCATGCCAACTAAACGGCTTTCTCAGCCCACACCTGCCCTGAACTAGTCAATTACCAACGTTGAGAAAGCAGGAAATGAATGGCTCATGATTTTAAGCATCAATAATTTAAATAAAAAAGTCATAAAGAGTCATCCTTCTTCCTGGAGTGTAAATGAATGTGATTCTAAGTGTATGGTAAAGACACGATAATTGCCAGCAAATTAACTACCAATGAAGATGAAGAGGGATATCTGTCTCCTTTGACTCTTGGACAATTTCCTTCCAAAGGGATTTTATTGTCCCACATTCGGAGTGAGAACTCAACTCAGTACAGGCCGTGCTTCTGTGTTGAAGAATGATCACCAGGCAGTCACACAGGAGCGGCTTCGGCCAGCGACACTGGTATCCCCACTTGGGGCTGACAAGGTTATATACTCTGCAACTAGTGTTCTGCAAATCCAGTCATGAGTTGGTCCAGAGTTGTTTTTAGGTAAGGAGAAGTCAGTTCTTCTCTCACCCAGATCCTCTCTGGCACACTGACCTTTGAGAATAAGAAATGTGCATGTTTTAATTCTATGCTCAGCAATGTTCTGTTGAATTTAATCAGAGGCTGCATAATTTTCTAGAACTCAAACTGGTGTCAGATCTCCATTAAATTGCAGGTGGCTTCCCCACCCTTTTTGCCTTCATCATCTCTCTCCAGTTTGAGAGTCCTCTCTACCCTGCAATTTTCACCAGTCTGTTTAATCCAAAGTAACTTTGTGAGACAACCTCATTAAAACTAAGGTATTGGTGGTCCTATGTGTTATCTCCTCCACTGGAGGAGATCACTTAAAAATCATTTGGAAGTTTCTTTTGCTGTGCAGAAGCTCTTTAATTTAATTAGATCCCATCTGTCAATTTTGACTTTTGTTGCCATTGCTTTTGGTGTCATGAAGTCTTTGCCCATGCCTATGTCCTGAATAGTATTGCCTAGGTTTTCTTCTAGGGTTTTTTATGGTTTTAGGTCTTAAATATAAGTCTTTAATCCATCTTGAGTTCATTTTTGTATAAGGTAAAGGGAAGGGGTCAGTTTCAGTTTTCTGCATACAGCTAGCCAGTTTTCCCAACATCATTTATTAAATAGGGAATCCTTTCCCTGTTGCTTGTTTTTATCAGGTTTGTCAAAGATTAGATGGTTGTAGACATGTGGAGTTATGTCTGAGGCTTCTGTTCCTTTCCATTGGTCTATATCTCTGTTTTGGTACCAGTACCATGCTGTTTTTGTTACTGTAACCTTGTAGTATAGTTTGAAGTCAGGTAGCATGATGCCTCCAGCTTTGTTCTTTTTGCTTAGGATTGTGTTGAGTATACAGTCTCTTTTTTTATTCCATTAGGGAGTTGAACAATGAGAACACATGGACACAGGGAGGAGAACATCACATACCAGGGCCTGTCAGTGGGGGGGGGGCTAGGGGAGAGACAGCATTAGGAGAAATACCTAATGTAGGTGACAGGTTGATGGGTGCAGCAAACCACCATGGCACGTGTATACCTATGTAACAAACCTGCACATTCTGCACATGTATCCCAGAACATAGTTTTAAAAATCATCTGGAAAGGATTTGGTATGTACATATAACAATTTGTCTATCCATCCATAAACTGGTGGACATGAAGGACTGATGCATGGTACAACATAAATGAGCCTTGAAAACATGACATTAAGTGAAAGGAGCCAGACACAAAAGACCTTGTGCTGTATGATTCCATTTATATGAAATGCCCAGAATAGGCTAATCCACAGAGATAGATGCAGATTGGTTGCTACCAAGGGTTAGAGAAAAGGGAAATGAGAAGTAACTGCTCAGTGACTATGGGATTTCCTTTTGGGATGATGAAAATGTTTTGGAACTACATAAGGGTGATGGTTTCATAACATTGTGATTGTACTTAATGCCACTGACTTATTCACTTTAAATGCTTAACTTTATGTTATTCAAATTTCACTTAATTTTAAAAGGTGGGGGAAGTGGGGAAATCTATACTTGACCAAGTATGAGTCTTTGATGGTGAAATTTCAGAAGTAGTGGGAATAGAAAAGAAGTTTCCTATTTAAAAGCTTTCACAGGGTCTCTAAATCTCTGGTATGCCTGCCTCCGATGTCTCACCTTTGTTGGGGCCCTTCTGTAAAGCCAAGTTAGTGCAAAAGAAACCAAGCCAGCTTTCATTGGATATATCCATCTTCTGTGAAGAAAAATAAAAATATTATATAATAAGCAACCAATGCTAACTGGGATTATTATTACTGTCAATATTCTATGCTGACCTTCTACTTTCTGTGGCCTAAAATTAGATCGTGTATTGTTTATGAAACTTTCACTTGGGGATGTGTTTTAGGTTGCATGGGTTTTCTGCTGCTGTGGCAGCAGGACCAAGCCAAGGCAGAAGGCCCGGTGTTACTCACAGTTGGCTTTATGATTTCACCCGAGGACAGGGACCAAGGCATACAGCTGAAAAAGCAACATTGGTTTCTGGTCTCTGATGACACATGTGTTTCTTCTTTCTTTCTCATGCTTCTAGCAAAACAGAGTCCTACCCAGTGCCTTCCCCAAGGAGACCCTGGTTGTTGAGACTTTAGACCACAGCATCTAGAAGTCTGAGGCTTGAAGACCATCTCACTCAATTCCTGCTGGGTCTCTGATATGAACATCAGTCCTTCTCAGGGTAGGAATTTGA